TAAATGGCAATCCAAAGAACTGAACCTCGAAGGAGAACTCTTGCTAAAAGACAAGGACGCACACCAGAACTTATGGCCTATGGGACTTGTGCATCAAATCCTGCCCAGCTCTGATGGCCTAGTCCGCCAAGTCGAGGTCCTGATAGTGAGGTCAACAGATCCCTCTGGCGACCAGCAGACTTTCACCAAAAAGCTCTACACCACACTGGTCACCAACCTGTTGCTGTTGAGAAAGGCTGAACTTGAAGATTGAACCTCAAGCTTTGCATGCTTTGCTTTGTTTGATGCTTCATTAATCTTTACTGTTTATCTTAGTTATACTGTTACTTGCTCTTTAGTTAATAGCAGAATTTATAATTCCAGGTGGGGAGTGTGCTGTCCATCCAGGTATAGTTAGTTAGGAATTGGGAGCTGTCCCCTGTAGGGGACATGGTAACCGTAGTTAAGGTATCCTGGGAAATGTACTTCATGTCATGTGGCCACATCTGTAATCCTGACTGGTCACTGAATTGACCTTTGGTGGGTTGGGGGAGGTTTCTTTACTCTTGCTCGGACTCTAGCTTTGGGCTAGCGCTTCTCCTTTGGCTCTACTACTATGGGATGAAACGGGAAAAGATTACTATCATTTTATACTATGATTTCAACTATGCAAAGAATTGGACATTAGATGCATCTCGACATAACTGTGAGTTATGAACTGTGAGGATACCTAATATAATACAATAAAAGAAACTTTGTATGGAAGAATTTGTAGAGTTATCTATCTGTCTTTATATTCAGCAAGTGAATCAAAGGACAGAATAGGCCATTTCCTGCATGCTACCCGACAAACAGCTGATGCTCTGGGCTAGGAGTTTGACTTTCCTGAGTTCTTGTGATGGGCTGCACGAGGCAACCAGCTGGGAGGTGCTGACTAGCTTATGATCACTGGACAGCTGCAGCTTGGAGTCCAGTGTGAAGTTTCCACAGTCTATGTTTGATTTGGGGAGCCATGTCATCTACTGGTATTGGTCCACAGTGCTTCATTAAGTCCAGGGTCAACGCATAATCATCTCAATTATGACAAATCACGGCTTGAACTATCTTGCTTTGCATGTAATGAGTCTATCTCATATATTAGGTTCACCTTTTAAGTTGCATCACTGAAATAAATGAACTTTTGCATGATATTCTAATTTTTTGAGTTTCACCTGTAAAGCTTCACAACCAGCAACTACATTTTTGTGGGACACTGAATTTATAAACTCTATTTATAAACTAAATCTATAAACTTTCACAGTTAAAATTTTTATAATAGAAATGTTCCTTAATTTTTACGAATGTTAAATAGAACAACTAGATACCTCACTGAAGCACCATAATTTTTTAAATGAAGGACTAATTAATGCAGTACCATCTAGTGCAAGGGTGTCAAACTTGATTTCATTGAGGACTGCATCAGGGTTGTGTTTGAACTTGGGAGGCTGGGGTGGGTGTGGGCAACATGATGTCACTGTGGCGGCCCAATACTCTGCCAGCAAAAACAGGCTCCTGAGCTCCATTTTCAGCTGAGACAGCCTCCTGCAATCCTCTGCCAGTGAAAATTGAGCTTGTGGGGGCTGCATGCGACCCTCGTGAGCTCCATTTTCACTGGCAGCGGTACTATGGGCTGGCCTTCGCTAATTCCAAGACAGCCCCATGGGCCAGATCTAAGTACCCTGTAGGCCAGATCCAGCCTTGAGTTTGACACCCCTCATCTAGCATAAAAACCTAGTGTAAAAAGAAACTAATTTTGTCTTGGATTTTGTCATCTTCAAACAGATCTAGAATCCCATGAATTGGAATTTCTTCCATATTTTTTTTTCTTAAGAATTTCAGAATTAGTGTGACAGTTATGGCAATATACAGTTAAATACTTCACAATTCAGCCTGAAGCTGGATTAGTCAGGTTCTTCAATTTAACCCACCGATTGACATTTTTATATGTAAAAATGCAGAGTGCACCAAATATATCAGGGCTGTCAAACTCAAGGCCCGTGGGCTTAATCTGGCCTGTGGGGTGCTTAGATCTGACCACGGGGCCTCCCTGGAAACAGTAAAGGATCAACGCATGGTGCCTCTGCCAGAGAAAACAGAGTTCTAGAGGGCTGCGTAACGTCACAGCCCTCTTGAGCTCCATTTTCACTGGCAGAAGGTTGCAAAAGGCCATTGCAGCCAAAAATGGCTGACGAGAGTCCTGAAGGAGGCTGTTGTAGCTGAAAACGGAGTCCAGTATGGCTGCACACACCTCTCCCAAGCCCTGTTTTCACTGGCAGAGTGGTAGCAAAACTAGTAGCAAAAGTGGCATTTGACCACAAGGCATTGAGAAATGTTTCCTCTTTTGCATTTGAGCATCCAAGAAGAGATAGGAAAGGAGAAAGGGAAAGATGAAAGACAAAGAAAAAGGAAAGATGGGATGAGAGCAAGGAAGGAAAATGAAGGAAACAGGAAGAAAGAAGAAAGAAGAGAGAGGAGAAAAAAGGAAGGAAAGAAGGAAGGAGATTATAATGAGCGGGATGGAGGGTCTGAGGGAATTTTGCCTTAGCACTTGGCCACCAGCAATCCTACTGCCCTTTCACCATCCCCTTGTCTCCTGAAGTTTCCTGGTAATCTCCCATTCTATCACTGAGGATGCTTTGGTTACAAAGCCAGGTCTCCTTGCATGGAAAACGAGTGGGTTTCCCTCTGACCCACATACTTTTCTCTCCCATGCACTTCTTGACCAATGTGGCCAAGGAGACAGAGAACAGAAGCCTCAAGGAGGAGGTAAAGTGCAGCTAGGCACCCCCTCAGAGAAATGGGGCTGGGTTGGGCTAGGCCTATGATGGCGAATCTATGCCATGTGTGCCGGAAGTGGCATGCAGAGCCATCTCTCCGAGCATGCCGGCCATTGCCCATTCTTCTGGGTTCCAGCACGTGCATGCGTGCCAGCCAGCTGGTCTTCAGGCATGCATGCATATTAGAAACCAGAAGAGCAGTTCCCCCGGTGCACGTGTGCACACAGGTCAGCTAGCCTTAGTGTGTGCAGGAGCACCGGAAACCAGAAGAGTAACTCCCCAGAGCACATATATACACCAACAGGTCTTCCTGCATGTATGCACATTAGAAAGCACAAGACCAGGTGGCCAGCGCACATGCACGTACTGGGAAGCTAAACTTCCAGTTTCTGGCACTCCCACGCACGCGCATCGGGAAGCTGCTCTTCTGGTTTCTGGCATACACTCTTCATGCCGAAAAGGTTAGCCACCACTAGGCTAGACTGTGGGGTCCCAGTGCCCTGGGAGTTTGAGAGCCAGGATGCCCTCAAACACACTTCCCCTCCACTGCCTAGAGCACTGGACAGCCTGTGCCACTGTCCTGGCTCCTCTGCATGGCCTGAGAAAGACCATGAGGCGGCCTCTGGAGGACAAGGGTTTGACGCTGTCCTTGGTCTTGTCTTCCTTCGCTGGAGAAAATGGATCTCCCAGCTACACTGGGCCATCATAGGTGCCCCCGACAGAGTGATGTCAAGCTGGCCACGCCCACACCTGCCACACTCACCCAGCCCCCCAAAGTCAAACACAACCCTGATGTGGCTCTCAATGAAATCAGTTTGACACCCCTGAAATATATTATTTCTAAGCAATGTGAAGGAACGATTGAATTAAAATATATGTGAAATTAATTACATTAAACTGTCTATAAGTAGCAAAATTATTTAGGCTAAGGGAAGCCCATATATGTTACATGGTCAGCAAGTGGTGGTATCTAGCTAACCATGTCTGAATAGAGAAGCCAACCAGCATATTTCTGATTATTAGATAGTTGAACACAAGACTATCAGGGAATGCTAAGACTTCTGGCTATGAGAACTTGAAAAATATCTTGGAAGGTGATTGGCAAACTGTTTACAAAATACACCGGTATATGCTATTTCTGACAAAGCTGCATTAGTGTGTCCATGAAGTCACCAGTAGTCAAGCTTGATTATAACTCTTTTTTTAATGTCATGCAGAATGCTCTCAAATCAGAGTTAATTAGCAATTTTTTAGTTTAATCCTTATAGTTGGGGAAAGACTCTATAAGTTTGGCACACCTTGAGAAATTCATTTTCTGAATTCTCAGTTTTAGTTTTAGCTATGTTGGAGTCCTGAAGCTAATACAATGTAGTGAATTTCAATAAGACAGCATTGCCATTGGATATGGAGTTCCGTGACAGTAAGATGAGCGGGTGAATAAATTTAATACATAAATCAATCCCTGAAGCTGATTCATTGTCCTACCTTTCTGCAGACTAGCCACTTCCAAAAGTATGACTGCAATTCCCAGAATTTGCAGCCATTATATTCTTTAAAATGAGCTGGAGAAGATCTAATTCACAATCTACGGGATCAGGCAAAGGATCAGGCTTCAACATCAGGTCCCAGTTATATGATAAATCTACTCTTTTAACTTACACTGATTTTTCTTTTAAAATAAAGTGCACCACTTGAAGTGACCTCTAGATTTCTTGGTATTCAGAACTATTTCCTTTTGATTTCTGATTTGTACTTACATTAAGAACTACAAGGCATTTAGGAGATGCCTTTTAATATCTGCATTATATTTAACTTTTATACGAACTATTCTCGTTTATTTGTCCAAAGGCTTAAAGATACTCTAGGACAGTTTTAAACTTGCAGAATGCCTATAAACTTTGCAACTCTTAACTAGCTAACTTTCACTTGCTTTTCTATTGTTTTGCTTTCCATAATCATGACGAGTTCTAAAAATACCTTTTAATATCTTATTAGCCTAATTATGTAGTTTTATTTTTTTCCCTATTATAACCTAAGACGACCATTTTGCAGAATAGTTACCCATCCTCTTTCGAAAGACTTTCGCAGCAGCAGCTCCGAAGCATTTCACTGCTTCTTCCCTCGCGACCAATTTAATAGACTTCCTGTTTATCTTATATGTGTGCGGAGAAAGGAGGGGGCCCTTTTCTTCCATCTGCCACCTCCTCCTTCCTGTTTTACCTTCTCTCCCCCTTCGCGCGTCCAGCACCGGGTCAAGCCTTCAAGAGCCCGCTCCCCGACATGATCCCTTCCCCAAAGCAGCATTTCCGCCTTCCACCTTACTCCTGTGGCTTTAGTGGGGTGCTGGACCGAGCCTGTGCCGTTGTCCGGCTCTTAACTGTACAAGGGACATCCTAGCCAGAGAGTTACTGGGCCCCACCCCGCACTGCCCCGCCTCTAGAGTTAAGAAGTGTTGCAATTGTTCTTGGAAAAAGCGGGGAAGCAAATTGCACCCGTTCAATCAGAAAGGCGCTGGATATATCTCTGCATGCGGATCATCAGCACCGATGCCAGCAGTGGGGGCGCTCCGAGCTCTTCTGCTCCGCCGCCACTTTCCTACGGGCCGGACACCGGATTACTTGACAGAGGCTACGCGGGCTCTTGCTCTGCCATGCTAAAAGTGGCCCAAATGGTAAGGATCAGAGGCGACAGGGGTCCCAAGGACACATGGGGAGAAACTTTACTGTTTCGCTAAGCTGCGGGAGAAATTACACTTTCTGACCGTTCAGGTTTTCCAAGGATTTGTTCGCCTGTCGGGCGTTTCCCAGGAAAGACAGGAAGATTTTGCATCGCCCAGCCAACTACAGTTGATGTTGCTGCTGCGTTCCTCAGGGCGGGAAACATGCTGCACGTTTTACCTACCGCAGTTCTCGCCAGGCGACAAAGGGGGAAGTTGAGGCGAAGAGCGGTTTCCAGAGAGCGCCCCGAGTGGGCTATCTGAGAATGATTCCTTGCAGCGGGCGCGCCTCTCCCAACCCTTCAGAGAGGAGCAGTGCAGAGTCAACTTATATTTTGAGTCTCTCTAGGCTGCCCAGAACAGTGTACTGGGCTTAGTTTATACGCTTGAGAATAGACCCGCGTAAGATTTTTAAAGCAAAGTAATGGAGACATTGAATAAATCATTAAAAAAAAATCGCAGCACTGCGAGGCAGAATACTCCAGTTTATTAATACTCAGTCTTTTGAATAGCTAACCCCAGTTATTGTTTGTAGCCTGTATAGGTTTGTTTATTTGGCCAATTCAACTACATTGAGCTTTAAAGACTGTCTTTCAGGAGCTGAAAATATAATATCTAGGCTTAAATTAGAAATGCAAACAATTTTGGACAGATAAGTAACCACACACATTGCAGAGTAGGGACTGCTTCAACAGGTATTCATGCTTGATTATTCTTATCTACTAATTTCTTTCATTTGGATCTGTCATAAATAGGGCATTTTAATATTCCATTAACACTTCATTTACTTGCTTGAAGAAAGGGGGGTGTTGAACACTTTCATGCTGCAGCAGAGACCGTTCCCACTTCTCTCTGGAAAAAGGCTGGACCTGCACACCCAAATATTTAACCACTGGCCTAGCCTCTAACCAATTTCCCCAGTGTACTCTGGAACAGTGGTCGCCAACCAGTGGGCCACAGCCCACTGGTGGGCAATTAATCTGGGCCGTGCTGTACTTGAGCCTCCTGGCTCTCCGAGGGACCCCGGAGTCAGGCCCCTGAGATGCACGTGCCAACCAGCTCCTACACTTGGCGATGGTGGCAACAGCAGTCCCCTCCCCCAGCGCCCACTGACAGCTCTTCCCCATTAGTTCTCTAGCTTTGAATTGCTCCCAGCTCTCTCTCTTTCCTCCCCACCCTGCCCACGTGCAGGCAGGAAAGGAAAGGGAGATGGAGCCATGCACAGCTCTCCGCTTTTCCATCCCTTGCTGCCTCTCCCAACATTGAAGCCTCGGAAACACAGGCAAAGCCACCACAGCGGTAGCATGCTGAGTTGTCTTAGCATTCTTGGTTAGTTAAGAATCGCCCTACCCAGAGAAGGAAGTGGTGCTGGAGGAGGAGGAGGCAGTTGTGGACAAGCAAGCAACTCAGGGCACTACCGCTGTGGCGGCTTTGCCTGCATTTCCGAAGCTTCAATGTTGGGAAAGGCAGCAAGGACTGGAAAAGGGGAGAGCTGTGCAGGGCTCCATCTCCCTTTCCTTTCTGCCTGCACATGGGTGGGGGGAGGAAAGAGAGAGAGCTGGGAGCAATTCAAAGCTAGAAAACTAATAGGGAGAGCCGACAGTGGGCGCTGGGGAAGGGACTGTTGTTGCCGCCACTGTGTGTGGGAGCGTGCATCTCAGGGACCTGACCCAGGAGGCACGGGAACTGCAAGTGGGAGCATTTGATGATTTCGAAGAACTCCTGGAACATGGTAAATTGGTGTTTTGTAGGTCTCAGTGAAAGAGTGAGCTTTGTTTCATCTCCTTTCCTTCCCTGGTAATGCGAGAGATGCTTTCTCTCTCCCCCCCCCCCAATTAATCACCAAGAGCGGCAGTCCTTCTGAAGGCAGATGCCTGCTGAGAAGCCCCTGGAGTGGCAGCCAAGGTGCGCTGCCCCCCAAGGAGAGCAAAGCCCACTTTGTGCCTCTGCTTCTCCCAGCGGCAGTTGCCCCAAGACCCCTCAGCTCAGACACACACACACACACACACACACACACACACACACACACACAGAGCCCGCTCTTCTGTCTCTTTGGAAGGTGTCAGTTGGGGGGAGGCTTCCAGCCCTGAAAGTTTTATTTTGTTATCATTAAGCATTTACATTTTTGTTATAATTAAATAAGTGGGTTTGTGTGTGTGTATGTGTGCGTGTGTATGTGTGTGTGTGTGTGTGTGTGTGTATGTTACGTTTTCGCGGGTAC